GGGGGAAAGAGAAAGGGAGAAGGGGAGAAGGGGAGAAGGGGAGGAGGGAAGAGGGGTGAAGAGGGACGGACAGGGAGGGGGGGGGGAGGGGAACAAGGGAGGAGGGGTACAGGGAGAGCAGGAGGTGGAGAAGTGAAACCATTGGGAATGGCATGCCCAGTACCTTTCGCGGATGCGGATTTATCAGCACGGCCAAGCGGATAATGTGACTCTTTTATTTATTTATTTCGAAAAGAAATTTGAAAAAAATGGTTAAAGAGCTATAAATAGAACTTCTTCCGTTCCGGTTCCCTGCCGTCTTCATCCGAATAGAACGCCCGTCATTATCGCTGTATCTCGCCCGAAAGTTGCACCAAATACAGCTATTGACCACGCGTTCTATTCGGGTGAAGACGGTAGCGGATAATTTGTAAATGCATAGAGCGTTGGGAATCATCCCTTTTTGTATAGTGCGGTATGTACCGTTACGTTTTCCATCACTTTTATTATAAATACACCACCATTTGCAGATGTCTTTATATTTACTGGTGGACAACATATAAAAGCGAAGAGAGAGAGAGAGAGAGAGAGAGAGAGAGAGCTGTCTCTTATACACATCTAGATGTGTATAAGAGACAGGGCTAGCTCAGGTCTGGGCCTTAATATGATGCTACGCTGGTGATGGAAAGCATGAACCTGGCAGTAAAAGCAACCATGTTCATACTTACTTTCTTAGCATGGCATAGCAAAACAGTGGGGCCTGGGCGTAAAGCATGCATTCGCGTCCCCTACCTTGCCCTACACCACAAAGAAGCAGCTATTTTTTGTAATTTTCCTACGCTACCAGCCGGGCCGCCGGGGTCACCCTATTTCCCGGGCGGCCCAGCCGTGTAAGGACCAGGGAACGTCCTAGAAAAAGAAAAAGAAAAAGGTGATTGGAAAGCATGAACCTGGCCGTAAAAGCAACCATGTTCATACTTACTTTCTTAGCATGGCATAGCAAAACAGTGGGGCATGGGCGTAAAGCATGCATTCGTGTCCCCTACCTTGCCCTACACCACAAAGAAGCATCTATTTTTCTTAATTTTCCTAGGCTACCAGCCGGGCCGCCCGGATCATCCTATTTCCCGGGCGGCCCGGCCGTGCAAGGACCAGGGAACGTCCTAGAAAAAGAAAAACAAAAACAAAAATGAAAAAAAAAAAACTATGTTATGCACAAAAATAAAGTGAACAACCTTTGCCTCAGGGTCACATCGAACTTCTTTACCAAATTTAAAATCAAATTTATTTTTATTTTTATTTTTTTGGGCCCGGCCGGGCAAGTGCTCCTGCGCCACTCTGGTAGTGCAAGGAAAATGAGCGATAGCGAACTCCAGAAACCAAGCAGCATCATACACATGAGTCCAGATAGTCGTGACCGCGAACCAAAAGCAGAATTGCAACACAAGTTTCACCAAATAAGAACACGGCAAAAGCTCATAAGTGACAATGTTGGAATAGTCTCATCGTCAACAAAGAACCAATGTCGACATCCTATCTGGCGCTCTGCGCCCAGACTGCAAATGGCAGATCCTATCTAGCCTATCTACAATGCCGCTGGTGACGTCAACAGCTCCCCGAAGTACGAGCAGATCTCGGCTAATGCCGTCCGCCTCAAGCACCGGGTATGTCTCTCGTATCACTCACAACCTCGATCCCCCAGATGCCACATGCACCCAAGGACCACCATGCGCCCCATCCAGCTCAGCGCAGCGCAGCTCGGCTATGGCTGCCTGCTCTCCCTGCTCGCTCGTGAGCGTGTGGGCCTGGCCAGCGTTTAGCGCAGCAGCGCTTGCGCAGCATGCAGCCAATGCCCGAATGCCAAATGCGAGGGCAGGCAGTTTCCTAAATGGAAGTGGCCTGCCTGCTGTGTGTGGCCTGGCTGCGCTGGGCCCCTGCACAGAAGCTTCCGGTAGACCCCGAGAGGCTGAACCCCGGTCCAAACAAATCAGGCCCAGGGCCTGTGACGGTTGCCTGTGCCCAACTGCCCGCAGCCTGTGTTCGGCCCATGTTGTGTATCTGGCCCAGGGCCTGCCTTGGTTACGTACGAAAAAGGCAGTCAGAGCCGGGGCGCTCTCAACCAACTGGCGCTGCGCAACTGCCTGAATTTCCCAGTTGCGTGGTGGCCAAAAAAAATAGGCCTCTCCGCCTTGGTCGGGCCCGCCTTCACTTAGGGCAGCGAGAGTGCTGCTTACAGGCCCAGCTCGTCGGGGCCTTATGCCTCGCGTTCCCTCCTCCATACTTCGACAGTCCTCTAAGAAGTTCCTTTACTCAATCTGGCACTTTCCCTTCTGCAGTAACTTCTCGTAGTGAGCGACAGCCTGTGGAGCGTTCTGCATCAGTTCTTCCCGGGTAAACCATCTGTCCTCCTTAGGATCAGTGTGATGTCTAAACCGAACGCGATATTGCAGCGTCGGCTTAGGAGGACGTCCCCTGCCTGTTGGTCTTGGAACTGGCATTTCCCTGTGATCCACGATGTCGTCGATGTCGACCTCTCCATCCATGGTTGGGGGCAGCATTGAGCTACGAGAGGGGAATTGATCAGTTTCTCTAAAAGGTGCAAGTTTAGAGGCGTGAAAAGCAGCATAAGTGCGAAGGTGACCAGGGATCCGGATTACATATGATGGTCCATCAGAATCACCCCCGACAACATCGAGAACCTCCCATGGTCCAAAGTATTGTGGCATGAGGTTGCGGGAGATCCCGTGCTCCTGTCCCTGTTCTCAGGACTTGACCCAGACTTTGTCCCCTACCTGAATGTAGATGGGCGGCGGTGTTTGTTCTCAGATTCTATCATCGCCGCCTGTGCCTTGTGCATCTGCTCTACAGCTTGCTGCATCAGACGCTCATTTCGATAAGCGAATTATAAGGTGCCTGGTGCAGCACAAGGCTGATTCTCAGGTAGTAGAAAATCTAAGGGCAGTTTAGGTTTGAAAGTCAGTAGCAGACTGTTGGGGCTCACCCTGTTGCACTGCGCACGGTGTTGTTATACAGGCTGGCGATGAGAGCAAGTTTCTCATCCAAGTCCACCTGATTGGGCTTGATGTAGTGCCTTAGCAGGTGTTGTACAGTGCGATTCAGCTGCTCTGCTTGCTCATTTGCCTCTGGGTGGTTCCCAGAAGTCATCTGCAGCTGTGTTGCCTGTTCTGCAGCTGCAGCCTTCCACAACTAACTGGTGAATCGGACATCCCGATCACTCACAATGGACTTTGGAAGTCCAAAGTCTTTGACCCAATTCTCTTTGAACAGCTTGATCACATACTCGGCCTTAGTTGTAGCAGGCATTGCGACTAACCTAGCATACTTATTAAATCTATCCACAATGATATAGACATATCACATTCCGCTCTTGTTGGTGACCAGCGTGTCCATGAAATCCATAGAAAGGCTCTCACCGTGCCTTTCCGAAATCGGAAGGGGCTTGAGAAGCCCAAGAGGGGTCTGGCTTGTCCCTCTGACACACTTGACAAGTCTCCACATACAGCTTCACATCTTTCATCATTGTGGGTCACCAGAACCAATGCAACAGATTTGATGCAGTCTTTCTATACCCAAAATGTCCTGTGGCGTCATGACACTCGCCTAAAAATAAACTATGCAAAGACTCCCAATTTGGAACACACAAGCATTTATTCTCGGCCTTCTCAAGGAACAGCAGGCCATTGACCAACACAAACTCGTCAACAGTTATTTTGTCCTTCGCCTCGAGTCTGCGTATGATCTCGACCATGAACAGGTCCTAGCGATAGGCTTCCACCAAGGATGAGTAACATCGTCCGCAAGCCCAAACTCAATGATCAGCGCACCAAGGAAGTCTGGCCTATGCCAGACAGCGCATCAGCAACCTTGATATACTCTCCCTTGATGTACTGGGGCTCGAAGTCATACTCGTCCATGACTTCAATCTACCGCTTCATAGCATCGGAGAGTACCGGTCGAGTCTTCATCCACCTCAGGGTCTGATGATCAGTCCTGGCATAGAAGAAGCGACCAAGGAGGTAATGCCTCCTTGGTGAGTCAATGCTTTGTAAATCGCGTAGAGTTCCTTCCCATAGGTGGACCTAGCCAACTTCTGAGAGGGCATCTTTTTGGACATGTACTCTACAGGCCTTAACTTTTTCCCCTCCTGGTGCGCAAGCATGGCACCTATGCGATATTGGTTGGTATTCGTGGTTACTACAAACGGCTTGTCAGGATCAGGCAGTTTCAAGACACACAGTGGTGGCATTGAGGCCCCTATAATCAATTCACATTCTCAACGTTCCAAAAACAAAACCGTAATTACAAAATCAATGCACGTGAAAGTATGCAGAGAATCCATCCACCCTCCTTCCTTCTGCTCTACCATCTTCACTACTTTTTGTCAAATTTTAAGAAACAACAGAAGCGTTCCTTTTTTTAGCCGCATTGATTTTCGTTCTAAAAATAATAATAATAATAATAATATTTAAAAACACACACACACACACAAAAGCAACAACGTGCATGGCCTGTAGAAAACCAGAAGAGAGAGAAATAGAGAAAGAGGGAGAGAGAAATAGAGAGAGAGAGAGAGAGAGAGAGAGAAATAGAGAGAGAGAGAGAGAGAGAGAGAGAGAGAGAGAGAGAATGTCCTGGGCCTGTCGAAAAGGAGAAGAAGAGAGCGCGCACGCGCGCGCAAGCGAGAGAGAGGAATGCACAGAGAGAGAGGGAGAAATGCAAAGAGAGAGAGGAATGCACAGAGAGAGAGAGAGAGTGTGTCCAGGGCCTCTAGAAAACGACAAGAGGAGAGAGAGAGAGACAGACAGAGACAGAGAGAGAGGAATGCACAGAGAGAGAGAGAGAGAGTGTCCAGGGCCTCTAGAAAACGAGAAGGAGAGAGAGAGAGAGAGAGAGAGAGAGAGAGAGAGAGAGAGAGAGAGAGAGAGAGGGAGAGAGAGAGAAGGAGTGATGCAGCGGCCATACATACCCTGGCAGCTTCTAAGTTCACAGCATCCGGAATCTCCCGCTGGAGGACCAGTGCACCTGCACGTTTGATGAGTGCCTGAGCCAAAGGTTTAAGCCGACTGCTCCCTCCTCCCAGTCTCGGCCACGTGGCGTTGGCTCCCCCGACAATAATGATGGAGTTCTTTCCCTTGGGCTGCAGCATGACAACGGCACATCCCGTCGGCCCCAGCACCATGCTCACGTGATCCATGCGCACGTCATACTCTCGCAAAGTGTCACGCACAAGATTCGCATTCAGGTCCTGGCCAACCTGTGCGACCAGGTACGTCGGATACCCCAGCTTAGCTGCGCAGGCGGCCTGATTGGCACCCTTGCCTCCAGGAAGAATGGTCCCGCTTCGAGCTGCTATCGTCTCGCCAACCAACGGCAACCGTTGGATCTCCACATAAATATCCGCATTGACGGAGCCCACAACCACGACAGGGCTTGGCTCCACTGCTGCTACGGCTCCCGTGGCTTCGCGCTCTGCAGCTGCAGGGAGGGGGCCCTGGCAAAAGGTCAGCATTCCGTAAAGGTGTTGTTTAGCAGTGAAATGTACTTATAGAAGAAGAAGAAGGGAAAAAAAAAAACAAAAAAAAAAAACAAGATTATCTATATATATTGTCACAGAACTGTTGACTAAAATATATATAGGTGTAAAGCGGAAATGACTGGTAGAAAAAGGGAGAGGGGGGAGGGAGG